CCATTGTGGGCTCCCTGCGTACTTATGACACTTTTATGCGTGGCACATGGAGCTGAAGGTACATTTTTGCCATTTAATCTCACCCCAGACCCAGTATGACGGTCACTTTGTGCCTGATGTGCGAGTCTTGACTGTGCTAGCGCATACTGCGCCTTGAAGAGCATTCACCATTGTTTGTCCTTTCTTTGGTTGTTAGTCTTTAGACGCCTGTTCCCATACCAAAATCTTTACATACTTTGGGATTCACCTCATCAGACTGGCACTGTCCTTGGCATGATTTCGAATGAGACGTTTCTCTCTTTTCTCCCATATTCTCCTGTTACTCTTTCGCATTCATCGCTTGCATTCACTTTTTATGTTTGATGCTCTGCTCTTCAAAAATAAATGATATTAAAGTAGAACTGTATCTTTCATCAAATTTAAGTTGAAATTCCCATCACAGTGCTGAACGACCTTCAGACCATGCTCTTCAAAAATAAATGATATTAAAGTAGAACTGTATCTTTCATCAAATTTAAGTTGAAATTCCCACCACAGTGCTGAAAGCCACGACCTTCAGACTGCAGCTTAGTAAATGCTGACATAGTGGTCTTCTGGCCAGTAGCACGAAAGGGGCCCACAAAACGGTTAAGGCTAAACCTTGTCATGGCCACATATCGAGCGTGCGATCGATTTTATTGTTGATTTATTTTTCATCGTGCTTGAAAGAAGCAAGGGTAACTCTTGGTGACCCTCCACTTGGATCCAAAAAGCTGACAAAGCATATTATGGATGTGGTAAGCAATAAAGAACTAGAACAACTGATTTGAGTGATGTAGGTTGGAAAAAAGGAGCCTAGATGCAGATACCAGTCGGCCTTTCTCTTTTGCAGCCATGTCTCAAATCTGCATGTTATCTGCGGTGTTAAACAATCCAGCCTTTCTACTTTATAGTGTGTTTGCACTCTGTTAGATTATCAGAATTGGTCGTTTCTAGTCAATAACGAGGTTAGTGTAAGAAACATCAGTACTGTCGATCACTTATCCAATAGGTGCACATAAGGTGGCTCGCTCGTGGAAGTTACTTCTGCCGCGCTGGCTTAATCTACTCAAAGCTAAGTTACAGTTAAGAGGTCAAGTTTAACTGGAGTTGTGTTGGCAGGCTGTGGGTTGACGGGCTGGCTCTCTCAGGTTTGCCCCTTCCAATAGGTCCGTTAAGTCAAGCAGCAAAATCATAGTAGGGATCGTGGAGGCGATGGAACGATGACTGAGCCTGCTTGCGGTAATCGCTATTCCGGATGTGCGTAAGTGAAGGAGCACACCGACTGGCAGTTGAAACTTCCCCGATCTGTACGTGACAGGCCGGAACCGTTTATAGAGTCACATGCTGGAGATAAAGAAGTCGACACAGTTTGATTCGCTTTGCAAACGAGCACACACACGCAAGCACGCATTTTTCGCGCCCTGTGGCAACGCGACCCAATTATGTGCGCAGCTTGGGGGAGGGGGTTCTTAGTCTGCGAAAGGTAGCGTGCGTGAGTGAACACCAACCGACTAGATCCACACACTGTGAAAAGAAGCCTACCACGTTGTTATGACTAGACTGTGATGATGAGTAAAAAAGGGAACCAGATGAATGTACATCCGAAAAGGAGAGGAACGTTTATTCCACCCTGTTTTCCAGGCATGAGTTCCGTAATACTCGCCTAAAAACGTTGAAACTTCCCAATTCAGTAAAAAAAAAACTCCACGAGCACTAGAAAACAGTACGCCCAACGAATTGTATATCCTGTCGGCATAAGTTGCTTCCAAACTCAGGATGGATTCGATGCACGCTTGAATCGTCCTGTCCTGTCAGCACTAACTATTTTGTATCCATAACAGTATTCTGTCCGTCCTATCCTTTTTACCCTTGCCACTGTTGAGTATGTGACAGTGCTCAAAGAAAACGAGCGGCACAACAATATCACAGCTTTTTAGGACCCCCACTTATGTAACCAGGATTCCTAATTAGGCCGGCTATTCAGCATGATTGTACCCTCATAGAACTCCATCGGACTGTTTGTATAATGCCCGTCCGATAGGCACGAATTCGAAGTTGAACAATAGTTTCAGGGCTAAGGAATATCGGGACGCAGTAAAAAAACTTCACACCTTATATATCACCCCAGTTCCAACAGCGCGCTGGTCGCGCGTGTTGTTCCGATTGTGTTCGCTCAATGTTCGTTTTGACTATCGACTATAGTGACAGAACGAACAGCTTGCCAACAACCTCGTTTTCGGTCATGCCCTAGCACTTTCTGAATGGGGGGAATCACCGGGACTGGAAGCGTGGTGACAGCGCGGTTTGTTTCAAGTGTGCAGTGTGCACATCTATCCATTGTTTGTTTGTGTAATGTGCGCGGGACTAGCGTTACTGGTACACACCGTTGTGACTAGCAAATGCAATAATGCATGCTAGTCCTTAGGGATGTGCTTACATGGGTTTGTTGTTTTGGGGAAAAAAGTTGAGCTGTCCAATTTCCAGGATACCATGACAGCTGACGATCCCATAACCCGGCAATGACTTCGAACCATGTGCTGCTACACAAAAGATGATATACGTTTTGCAAGCTGCTGCGAACACCATTATGACCACCGTCTTTCGGAGACTCCAATTGAACAAAGGCTTTTAAAACCATGGGGATATTATTCTACCTTTAAAAGGGAAACCGTTTTTTCTTCCTTGTTTTGGGAGAGTGGTTGTCCAAACAGGATTCACAAGAGAGAGTTGAGTGTTGGGCTGAGGTTTGTGTTGAAAATCGAATGCGACTCCCGCAAAATTGAAGTGAATCTCAGTCACGTGTGCTCAGAGTAGTGTTGTATTGTTGTTCTTTATAAGTAGTATGGGAGGGTCGAGCAGACATTGTTGATAACTCACTAGAGGTTTCACACTGTCCTGGAAGTCAGCGGTAATATGTAATAATACATCAACTCACTATGTATAAGACTGATGTGCCCAACTTTTGCACATTTGTGTTCATGTAAGAAAAGCTATGACTGAAATCCATGAACTGCGCTCACATGATGAGCGATAAAGAAAGCGAAAGCAGTGGCTCGTTGTAGGCGAATTCCGATCAGTCCCGTGATACCGCTTACAATGAATCGGAAGATTGAACAGGTCCGCTATTTTGTGAAGAAATCCTCCATACTCGTGTAGGTCGCAAGCCATTGCCAGTTACTTCACCGATCTGACACGGCCTGACTGAGAATTAATCGTGAATTCACTAGTTGCGCAAAGTAATTTCCTGCTATATGATCGCTTTGGGAACTAACAATCCCAAGTAGAACATAAGGTTGACGGAAACTCGGGGGCTGCGCCTTACTGATGAGCCCAGAGCAGAAGGGCGAAACCGGTCGTGGGCTGTCGAAGAGTTTTCAGCAACCATGTGAGTAGTTTCCTTCATGAAAACAACCCCAAATGCTAATCGATTCATTATACGTTTTCACAGTTGTATCGTTAGACGATCAATTTTACAGGTTAATCCACCACCATCATCACGACTATCATGGACAGTACACTAATGGTAAACAGTGTTGCTTAACCGTCACAGCCACGAACAGGTGGGTGTTTAAAAAACGTTTCTACAAAAACCATTATGGCAAAATGCTTCCACCTTTTTACAACTTTCGAACAAGCACAATCGCGTGGATAAGATGCCGCCAACAGGATGGACCTTGGCCGAATCTTAGCCGACAGACTGTCTTTGCCAAGGCAGTCCAGTTGACAGTACGATTTCCGCTGGGATCAGATCTCATTCTATACCATATCCTGCCACATGGGAAAAGAATCACGTGGACCAAACCAGGGAGGCAGAGTGATCCCATGACACATCAGGCTGAAGGTTACGGCCTTCTTTTGATGTTGCCGAATCATAGCACTTTTCCGGGAAACTTTACGCTGGCGAAAGTTTGGACTGTGAAACTATGCTTTCTTCGGCAGACATCTACCACTTCTGGATTTTGTGCTGAACGACTTGGAGCCTATCGCTTTCAAACCTGGGTCCAGGAACTGGTATAGAGTTTAGTTCGTTTAGTAACCTATGGGATGTATCTACAACCACCAATGTCAATAACAATAGGCTACGAAATACACTCACTTGCAAACTAGGTTGGTTTTTCGAGACACTCACCTGGAATCCGGTTGAATCTCTCGGTTTCGATGTTTCCAGGCAACTGAATGTGCTGCACCAGGCCACCTAATGGTTGACGGAAACTCGGGGACTGTGCCTACCTGATGAGCCCCAAGAAGGGCAAAACCGGTCGTGGGCTGTCGACGAGTTTTGAGCAACCTTATGAGTAGTGCATTACAATAATAGGCTACGTTCACCTCAGTCCTATAGAACAGTCCATCTCCTGTCCTGGAGCACTCATTCTTGTGTCCAGTTCCGAGGGAAGGAAGCAGTGGACTCGAGTTTTGCTCTTATTAGGGTTCGACAACAGTGCTTGGCCGTGCCGGGTTTTTAAACACGGACGTTTGACATGCGAAGCAATGTGTGAATACTACTCAACCAGTGCACGCTGGACGCACCTACAACTGACCTACAATAACATTTCAGCCATTCATTGGTTGGGCCAAGATTCTCTAAGATTCAACAAAACACTAAAAGACCATCATTATCACCGGATACCTATCACAGTAAGGCCATCTTCAATTTCAGTTAGGGTAAACATCATGGAAACTAATACGATACCTGAATATTGGGAGTGCTACTGACACGGCGCAAAGTGCAGCTCTCCGGAATAACGTCCGTGGCCTCGAATGATCGCTTGAGTATTGGAGGTTGCATTTCATCTGAGAACACAGTCGAAAAACCAATATGGTTCTCATTGGCGGATTTTTCCTGCAAAAAAGAGAAGACGTTGTATGAATTTGAAGACACTGTCATGATTCAACGACAGCCTGGCTGCCGGTCTACAAAACGGTGAAACCACCGTAGTAATACGAAGACTTTTTTCGACGCGGGATGATCGCTAGTCCGATGAATTTAGGATTTTTACTTATAAGGACAAACGATTTCCCTTAACGGTAGAAGCTAGTGTAGGAGTGTAGGAGAATGCGTAATGCAGACCGCATGACCAATAGGTTGTGCCAATTATGCTAATATGATTGGACTGTTTTTTATCATGTAGCAACCTCGATACTAAAGATGAAAATGGAGCTCTCACTGAAAATCACCCCCTAGATTTTTTTCAAGTATTTCCAAAATGTGACTAGATTGTCGGATAAAATATACTGGTTGTTTTCTGCAAAATTTATTTTTCTTCTCCACTCACCTTGTGGTTGTTTCACTGATGTTTGTGGTAAGCTACATGATATCTTATGGTATTACGCTCGGTCTTACTCAGGGCACATTCGTTCCATGGTCATGTGACGAAGTTGTACTAGTCGATACTATGTAAGTTCAGCCTAGATCCAGCAGTGACATACACCCTTGATGAGGTTACGTTCGAGGGTACACAGCTGAGCTCCACGGTGTCGTCACACTTGTGTCCATTGTAAATACCTGGTTTTCCTCTAGATGATAGTAGTGTTTGACCCTGGTGTCAACCCACACTTTTGACTAGCCTACACAGGGAAACTTAGAAGCACTGCCAGCTGTTTCACGTATGTTGCCAATCGTACAGACCAATGGGAAACGTTAAACCTACAACCTTCCGTCTAGGAGTCATTGTAGGTGATTCTGGGATTTCTAGCATTTGCGTTCTGGCTCTGGCGCAGTCATTCTGGTGAGTCCATATCAGACGGGGGAGCATAGAACTCGAGTTTCGCTCTTTATGGAGCATGTCGACAGTGTATTTCCTTGGCCGTGCCGGGATTTCAACTCCGAACTTCTGGCACGCAAGTGGTTGTGGTACCCGTGGTTGATCAGATGGCAGTTGATCTGTTTGCCGAGCTTGGCAATCGGGCTGCAAACGCTTCGTCCCCAGTCGAGGATACATCGTCAGTGCGCAGTTGACTGGGTGCTTCCTCCGTGCCTAACTGCGTTTATGTAGTTTTTGAAGAGTATCGAATATCCTGTCATGTGACTGGCTAGTTGGTATATACCTTCTGTTGCATTTTTGTGGGACCGACCGTGATTTTTGCTGCGTTGTGGTCTGTATACCTCGTATTCCATTGGTTTGTTGGATGTGGTATCAACACTCCACCAACACACGCTGGACTCACTTGAACTATCACGTCTGAACAGGAAAACGTGTTCAGGTTTGAACAATGTGAACGGTTTGCCCGGCGGGTCGAAAGACTACACAGTTAACTGTTAGCCGATCGACTGACCCAACTGTCAGGACACCACAGTCAGATAGTATCACGGATGGTTGAAACTTGTTGGAAAATTTTTCGATTAGTTGCAGGTTGCGCAAGCCCAGTCTACTTGTCTGTTCAGGCGTGACAAGTCAGCTGGCTGCTCCCAACATGTGCCAGTGAACGTGTTCAAACCCTCGCCTTGCATGTTAAATCCGGAGTTGAAACCCCGACACGGTCGAGGATTTGCTCCGTTGATAATAGGTGCGAAACTTTGGTTCAGTGTTTCCACGCCCTTTGGTGTGCATTCACCATAACATTTGCGTCAGGACACTGTGTAAACGAGAGTGATGTGAACGCGAATTTATTTCTCATGAGGCGCACTGTCGACTGCGTGAAACTGCAATTCAGTAACCTTCAGCTGCTGCAGTACAACGAAGCAACGAACTTTTACCCACTTTCCACCAAATCAGCTGCCTCCGAAGGTCCTAAGGTCCCAAATGGAGCTGACTATTCATCTGTACTGTAACAAAGCAAATGTCTGATGGGGATTTGGTAAACGTGCATAAGTACTACAACAACTGTGTAGCAAGACGTCCGATTTTACTACTTGAGTTGGTTCTAGGGAGGACTTAAGAATTTCGATGTACTCGCGGGCCAAACCACCTAAAACCCCAGCCCATTAAGTGTAACCCTGCCAAATGTGAGCAAACAACCAAGAAGCCACGAGCTCCCACTCCATGAATGATCCCAATTCGTGGCATTTTGTCAACTAGGTATATCCTTTTCTCTTTAGAAGCAAGAACACAAGACGATGGCACGTCTGAACTGGGTTTCGGGTAATCCATGAGGGGCCGCTGGTGATCATACTGGTGTGCTTGTTGCATGGATAACTTCTGACTGACCAGATTCCTCAAAATACCCTACTTTGAACATTCAAACTGCCCAACTGTGTCGAAATCCGTGTCGACAACTTCAGACCCGAAATCTGATGGTTTTCACCGCGTACTCCCCAATAAACTGTAGCTGCAATACTGTTAAAGGCGCTTTTTAGGGCGAATACTGTGGGTTTCTGTGGGCAGAAAAGTGTATGGATAGCTGGCCATTTGGACACTCAAGTGAGAACAGTCGCTAAGTGAAAGAGCCGTAGCAGAGCTGGTGTAGATGTCCCCAGAACTAACAACGACTATCACTCCCTACAGTTGTGCGTAAGCAAAAACTTACAGCACAAATCTGAGGAAAGTGTTATCTGGTGCCATCCTAATATGCATTCACTTGGGTACACAGATCAACCACATAGAGGTTAGCTATTCACAGTTCCCAAAAGGCGTCCGCAAGGAAATCTGTCAGCAGAAACTGTCTGCACAGTTCACGAACACGGGACAGTCGGCTAAATAAAGACTGGATCTGGTGTTTGACTGCCCTCCCCAAACGAAACCACTGTCCAATTTATATTGGATCTCACAGCGATCCGTGTCTCTGACCGAGGCAAGGAATTTGACCTCGCCTGACCAACAATAAGATTCTACAAGAAGACCTCCGAAAAGGTGCATGAGCAGCAGTCTCAAGAGTGACCTGGAGATTCGATGGCTAGAAGAAGGGCAGTCAGGATGGGAAGAAGTTGGATGGTTTTCCAAATTATCCGTAACTTCAGACCAAGAAGACTGCCAGTCATTGAAGTTATTGCAGCGCAAGACGGCCGAATCGTCACTTCCACGCCCCATCGTCTATTTTAGTGAGTTGAAAACTTTTGGTTCAAAATGGTGCATCGTCAACCTCACAATGGGACATGAACTGCTCAGTTCCATCAGAAGAATGGGTTGAAGATGAGACCACGCTTTTGAGAAGAAACAAGTGACCCTGTCTTTGCTGTCTTCCCATCTCTTGTTTGAAACTGAAGCGAATGAACTGATAGTTCATTCTCAGTGTAATGAATTAGAAGAAGTTGGAGCTGAATGTCCATCCACCATGGATTCTACAACGCAGAGTTCCGTTCAGGTCGTGGATTGAGTAACTACTCTTTTGCCTTTTGAAAGTACTTTTCCATCCTCTCGAATCTACAAAAATCAACTCGGTATATGGTGTTGCGTTGTGGGGATGTCTCCCCTTCAAAGATATCCCGGATGTTTTCATCATACTTCTATGACCCACATAGTGCAACATCCTTCGGCGTGTGGGAGCCCGTGGACATTATTCCCCTGTGTTCACCATCACGAATGGCGTTCTTCAGGACTGTCGTGTGTCACCTTTGCTTTTAACCTTCCTGAACTCAACCACTATCGAAGAAATGATTGCTGCGTCGTCTACGTTCAGTGTGCAAACTCCTTAAAGACTTGAAGTATGCCGACTTAAAGTAAACTTTCGTATACCAGGTGATCGATTGTCTCGACGCATTCTGGTTGTCCACTATCATACACCAGAAGGCGGACATAGGATAATCTGGAGACGGATCACGCAGCACGTAACAACGAACCACAGCTGTACCGGTTGGGGTATCACTGATGATTGCAGGTACTGACGTCACCAGACCAATAGCATTGTTGTACTTACTCTCCAGATCCTAGCTGTTTTTGTTTTCATTTCCATATCCCATCTATCCCACACCGTCCCCTGACATAAAACATGGAGAACCGAATCACCGTACACACATGCACGCTTCATGATTGTCTGAGTGGACTGGACTGAATGCGATGTACAAACATGAACCATGAGGGAAAGCCGTATGGTACATAGTGTACGACGCCTAAGGGATCAGGTCTTGTAAGTCACTGAGTGTGCGCATTAGTTACACGGGCTATCCTCCTACCCACAAAAACTACAATAATCGAGAGCAGTTGAGCCACTGTGGACAGAGTTCACTCTCCCGCGAAACTTGTAAAAGTGAAGGAAGCCCACTTACTTGTGTACCTGTATGTGACAGGATCATATTCCAAAGTGTGGATCAACTAACCTAATAGAGCTTACCTGAGAAAACTGTTGAGGAACAGCCACAACATTGTTCAGTACAGCTGCAGATGCTGCGGTTGAGTAGGCCCCAATCGGTTTGTAAATGGTTTTCCCACTCTCCACATCACTCAAATCCTCATTCTCGTCCCCAATCGAGAATGCTGGAGTCAGAGAGTTCTGATCAGACACGGCTTGATCCTTTCGAACACGGGCTGGTTTGATGGGAGTTTCTGAGATTCTTTGAACAAACCCGGTCAGACGAATCTTCTCCTTGTCAGACCACCGCACGGCTTCATACGATGTGTTGTAAAGTTCATCCTCTTCATCCTCGCCACCATCTAATCTTTGGTACTTTCTAATCCGTCTGCATACAAGGAACAACAAACAGAGCAACAAAACGGTGACCGTAGCGGTCAGTAGAGCTATGCCGATTTTCAGAGGTAGTTTATCATCTGCAATAAAAACCTCTTGTTGAGGAGTCGTATTCCAGTTTGGGGGTGTAATCGTTGGCATTATTGTTTGAACTGCTCGACCACAGTCATGTTAGACGGGACAGTGACTAAAGTATTGATCTGTGTATCTTTGGACCAAGTGCATTGCTGGTCGATCAATTCGCAATTGGGTGAGCATCGTTCCCGTGAACAATTTTTGTTTCACCCAATCACTTGTGCCGATCGATGAAGTTCAGTGACCGTCTGGTGGCAGTTCGGGTCTACTCGTGTAACGTGAAAATCGATTGTTACTCACTTAGCTAACTTTGCGCGTTGCAAGATTTCCGATAGGATCATTTCGAGTTTCCTAGGAAAACGTTTGAGAAAACCAACTGGGTGCAGAAAAACAGTTAGCTGGGAAAACAAACCCTAAAGAGACTTGAATGTGGCATCAGGGGGTTGTTGTAATCGGATCTTTTTAAATGGACCGTACTGACGGGACTGGTCACAACTGCTTCGGCTTACCACTAATATGTCCACACTCAAACTGAGTGATTGGATGAACTGTATCTATCTGTCATTCCCTCATTAGAAGACTGTGAAACGAATGAGGCAAGCAATGTAACCAGGTCATGGTAGCTACATGCGAAGACTGACGGGAAAAAGCTAATATAGGGGTGTACTGAGACCGTGCATTAGTCCATCACTGAGTGCTCTTAAACTAGCTCTTAAATTAGGATATATGTTTTAATCGCCGCTCGCGGAAATTATTCCTGTTGCTTCATCAAGTTCCTGATTCGGGTACCTATCGTGATTATTAATTTACGCTCTGTAGTCATGTGTTTCCCGCCAACTTGATCCGCACAAGAGGTCGGAGGAACACACACCGGACGTGTATTAGGCAAGGCAAAAGGGTATGACAAACCGCTGGGTAAAAGTAGGTAGTGACCTGATAAACAGACACTGACACTCAGTCAGATGATGTTGCCTCTCAGGTCATGTGTCCCATCCGTGGTTCAGCCCACTGGTGCTGAGGCTCTACCGACAGTGCTGGCCGAATTTACCATCACTCCGAAGGTCAAAAATATGGTCTGCACGCTTGCCAACGCAGATCCTGACATTTTGCCTGATACCGAACCCTTTAGGTGTGATGCAGAGGCGTTGCCTAAAGTGGAAAAGTCCAGCAGCGACAGCCGACATGAAATCCGACGAAAATCGGCATTGGATGGGTATGTGGTAGACATACTTTGCTATGCTTCAAGTCCTGTAATTTAAAATTTAAACGAACGGATGAATGCTCATATCCCGATGGGGACGTGCAATCTACCTTGATTTGAATGCCAATCTGAACAGCCTCTGCTGTGGATCGCCTGTGGTCAAAGTGAAGAAACGTCATTGTCCAAGTACCCTAGTTTGTGCAAGCCGAGCCGTAGGACGGAGGGCGCGTCTATGCCACACGAGCTTTGGGCTCAGTCGACCGGAGCGTATGGTAACGCATGTACATTTGCTTTGCGCACACAACCAAGCACGAGCACTCAGATAAGCGAACCTTACCTTGGGCTACTTTCAATTTGTGTCTGTCAGTGCACGTATGTCTCACACCATCTAGTTTCATTTATCCGGGAGGCCTCCCTCCTCTTCTGACAAGGTACATCCTGTGCGCGCACCCCCAAGTGCCGCACTCCGTCTGTCTTCGAAAAAACCCGAACAAAGTAGCCGACCACTTAGGCGCTCTGCCCACACACCCTCACGAGTGCATGAGCAAGAGGAGGCAAAGCTGACAAGCCCGTCTTGGCAAGGCATGTTGGAACTCAATCCAGGGAAAGGGGACGCTGTCCGGATTACGCGACAGCTTCACGTAAGCCTGTGCGGTTGAGGGGTGGGAGAAAGCCCTTGCCTAATTTGTCGGTCAGGCTGGCTGTAAGACTAATCTAACACGATCAATATGTCTGTGGCTGCTGCAAGACAGGGCTGATGCATCAAAAGTTGTAGCAACAGCGGGTGGTACGGAAGACGGAAAAAACGCCTGCGACAGTGTTGAGCGCTTAAGATGAGCTGGTGGAATCTAGCACCAAGACATCAGGTGTAGATAGTGATTCCGCCTAGGCAAAGCGTTTGCAATGGCAAGGAGACTAAAATTGGTTCAGTGTATGCACCGATGTAATGTGACTTGTGCCAGAAGCGCAAGTTTAGGAACCTGTGGCGAAATATCGATACACTGGCAAGACAGACAACTAGGTCAATGCTTTCCTACGAACTGTTTTTCGCATGCAGGTCCCCGCGAGACAGGATACAAATTCGAAGGAGGTCTATAGAAAACTGCTGAGCAGTGCAACACCCAGCACTAAGGGATCATGCAGGAATACTGAATCGCAAGGTTTACTCATCTGTATTAACTTTGACAGTTCAGAAAGCTGGCATATTTGCTGTGCTTGTTTTCCGATCAACCAGAAGCATTTGCGATAGTGTTATTCGACAGGTCAGTGTGTATGAATAAGGGGATTTGTACAGTCGGGGTACGGACCGGTGGCGAGACACATCATCACACTTCTCATGTTGAACATAAATTTAACTTGATTGTCGAAGCATGGATTCTGGCACCAAAGCTATTGGATTTTTCTCTTTTTGGATAACGCGACCAGCTGTTAGGGTTCTTGGTATCTAAATGCTAATCTTGGTAACCTCATCATACAAATGCTTGATGAAACACGAGACAATTGCACAGCTGTTTGGCTTCAAGAAGATGTCATTCCACCACTCTGCACCGAAAATGTGTGAACATCGGAATGAGATATCATAAAATCGGTGGATCAGCAGGATAGACCGTTTACCTGGCTGAAATCAGATTCCACGGATTACTTTATTCACGACAGCTGAAGTAAGGAAACTCAAAGAAATTCAGGGGTTATAATCGGACGTCATAAACTCAAAGGAGTTGACGGAAACTCAGCGACTGCGCCTACCTGATGAGCCCCAAGAAGGGCGAAACTGGTGTGGGCTGTCGAAGAGTTTTCTACAACCTTGTAAGTTATTTCCTCTATCAAAGGAGTCAGCCGTTTGTTCCATGCTAAAGTCGAATAGTGGAATGCACTCGGAGTAACAATGTCCTATATCAGATCAGTGGAATATCCTATTTGGCACGGCTCTTGGCATGACAAGAACGTCAACTTGAAAAGTCTCCCGTGCTGGAGGTTCAGATGCATCACTTGTTACTTCTTCGATGATATCAGGTACTTTATTGGTACACTCTTCTGACCATTCCTTGTATGATCCGTAGTAGCCAGAAATCGAATCAGCAACAAAGAATACACCAGTGAGTTGTTTGTGTTAATCTATGGAGATGTTGTCATCTTGAGTGATTCTCCGCGAGGTCTTTAGGCGAGGAAAGTCTCCAGCAACACAACCTAGACCATACTATCCAACTGCGAACTCTCCAAGTGGACACTGTTTTTTCTTAGTTGTGGGTCTGTTCGTCGAGCTCGGCAGTATCATCACCAGTGGAGGTAACGGGTTTGAGTGGGCAAATTCCTCCTGTTCTGCCTGTGTCTACAAAGCTTCGAAACATCATCTACTATCTATAAAATCAGCGGTCAGCTCCGAGGTGGTTTCCGGGTAATTTGGTTTTTCAGCCTGGAATCAAAGTCGTGTTCTGATCGCATTTCCTCGTATCTCTTTCTTTTTATTCTCTATCAAATACAGTATACGAGAAGCTAATCAGGCTCCACACTTAACCTTTTACCTCTTGTTCAACTTGGATCATTCACATTCTTAAGGCATCACTCAAGAAAGCTCCGTCTAGTGAATTTATGACCAAAGACCTTCGGTACGCACAGTGAATACGGGGAAAGCGCGGAACACCTATAAATTCATTGCAATGTACTACTCATAAATTTGCTGAAAATCCGTCGACAGCCCACGACCGTTTCGGCCTTTTGGGGCTCATCAGGTAGGCACAGTCCCCGGGTTTCCGTCAACCTTATGTTCCTATAAAGTCACTTAATCAAGGCATTTGATAACTGTGGTCGACGAAGTGGGCGGTGCTTCAGGATGCATTCAGCACTCCTGTGATTAGGAATTCTGCTTTATCAAGCTATACTTCAGATATGAGTGCAATATCTATTCATTTGCATCAACTAATGCATGTTCCTATTCTTTCCGTTACCACTGAGGTCGCTTATACCTATAAACGTAAAAGAATAGGTGACAGCTGCGTTGCACTGAAATTTCCTCAATTGCCTTGAATTGGTTTCCGGGCCAACCAAAGGACAACTGCAAATTCTGCAAGGCACTGGAAGCTATTGAGGACAGTGAAGAGCCAGGAAACGAACGTATCGATCGTACAAAGAGGGTTACCCAATTTGCATTAGGGTACCAGACAGGAAGTGCTATCAACTAGTACACAGTTGAAGTCACGAACAAACTAAAAAAACACTCAATTGGAAGAATACCGCCAACATTAGAGCAGCATTCTAGAAGGGAAAAACGTTACGCTCAGTATTCATGCGATTGAAGGCTCGCCTTCCGGTTGATAGGACTAAAGAATGTGTATGTAAAATAAGATGCAATGACTGCGCAAAGGTTGATATAGGTGAGACAGCCAGGGAACACAGTCGGTGAGCATAAGAAATGCATAAACAGGTCATCTAGAAACGCAGATGAATATCAGGTGGTAGTCAAAGACTCGGCAGTGGCAAGATACGCATTGGACACTGGAAAATGTGGACGTTTTGAGACGGGGACTAAAACTCACACCGCAGCGACTGATGGCCGAAGATGCCAGCGTCGATAGAATAGAGGGCGTAGGACCGGTAAAACGTGTCCAGATCAGCTGAGATGATACGAGACGGTGTGTAGATATCGGTGTAATGGTCTGGGTCTAAAAGTACAAAACAGAAGTATAGTAAGATCCACTAAACTCCCACCAAACCCAGTCCACTTGTCCTGGCATCCCTCAACGCACATAGGCAAACAACATTTCGGAACAGCACCGTAGAGGAATGTTCCATTAAGGTGTCCTAGATCGGAAAAGCAAGACTTCAAAATGCTGACTTAACTTGATGACTATTAGTCATCCCCACTAACAAACTAACAGGAACTTCAAACTGAACACCCAGCACTGATCAAGTCGGCTAGTCATAAGAAATCTCACGGATTGGTTCTCTGGCTGCCTTAAGACCCGATCAACTTGCTAACTTATTCACTTAGCCTGACGAAGTTTTTGTGTCAAAAGCGAAACTTTGCCCAGCAATAAATTCACCGATTGTTTACCAGTCCTCTGACAAGAAGCAAAACAGCAGCTAAAGGTGGCAAGGCATGCGAATGCAACCACTTGGGTCTCCCATCTGCGTTGTACGCGTGAGGAGAATAGAGGACGCACGAAGACTGAATTCACAGGGACGTATATTCTGTGCCTTTTCACTTGCTTCAATTAACTTCATTCGGCAAACTGTAGGGGTTTTGCAAGGTTTGCTTTGATAAATTCAGCAAGCCAGTTTGGGATCTGTGACATTGTTGAGCGTAAATGTAATCAAATCCTACACCGGATGCTGCGTGATTTTTCGTTGGATCTTTTGCAGATAAGCCCCGCCAAAAAATTGACCCCCGCCACCCAAAAAAAGATTAGAAAAAAGAGGACGTGAAGTTGTACTTTTAGTTTTTATTGAAGAGGCTTAAATCGGGACATGTCATTATTAATTTACATGAAAAGGTTCGTTTTTCGGTACCTTTGCCTCCAAACGAACTCACACAAGTAGCTGTCCATTGAAGATCGGTGTGTGCCACACTGGCGTTTATTCTGCATCTTGTAGACCTGCCAAAGATAATCGATGGTTTATGTGTCGTTGAATCCAAAATTTTTTCGGTATGATTAACCGTTGGAGCCTGAAAAAGTCGCCAGGCGCAAACTTCGCGTAGAAAGTTCTTCCAGTCAACAGTGGTCGTGTGGCTAATAGATGATTCTTCTGAGCAGAATTTGATTTTTGCCAAATTTTTGGACCAGCAATAAATGAATAGAATTACTGTCCTAAACTCCATCTTAGACCGCTCCAGCCAAGTTTCCTTTCGAAGATCGATCTCTTGCCGACACTGTCGGGTATTACACCTCCACCTGTCAGAAACAGGTCAAGGTTGTGTGCGTACATTAAATTGGAGCTGGCAAAAAGTGGCGGAGCCTAACTTTTCGCACATGCTTTTTTTGCATTAGTGGTGGGGCTTATCTGGAAAATATCCTTTCCGTTTTTCTATCACGACAAATAACACAATCTTCTTACACTTTTCCAGCAGATCATTTGTGAAGTTTTACTGTAAATATGCCGAAAGAAAATGACAAAATATACGCTTTTTCGATTTACATAAGTGTCGTCGAGAGGTTTAACTGAAGTCATCGTTTATAGTATCCTTCGATTGAAAGTGGCTTCATGTTTCACTTTGCACGACACCCCGCGATCGGGTACCGCGCCTACTTGATGAACCCCAAGGAGGTCGAAAACGGTAGTGGGCGATCACATTTCGTCATTCGGTCTCATTCAAATCCCATGCTGTTACTTTTAAGTGGTCTTCAAGAATGCGAGTGCCATACTGACTGATAGCACAACTGAGAGAGGGGTAAGTCACGGATGCACCTTGTTATATCTGCTGATTCACCAATCTGAGGTATCTGCTGCTGACCCGCTCCAGTGCCTAGTGTCGGAGAGAAAAGACTCACGGAAGGGAACAAAACAGCCATATTCCAACAAAGCGGGTGCGAAAGCGTGAGTGCGTGCGAGTGCGAATGTACAACGGTTTCAAACTATTTATTGGAGGGGCACTGTCTGAACTCCGTCCAATGCTGACGCACACGGCTGGCTGCGACGTGCTGCA